AACTGGGGAGAGTTAAAGCAGATGTGGAGAATCTTGTAGCCAAAGGACTGGATTCCCTTGTGAATTTCTATCCAGGAGTCACATGCTAACAGTGGAGAGAGCCAATGTGGTTTTGTTAGCTGTTTTTCCATGTTTTTGCAATTTTCTCCATTCAGAAAAGACTGACGTCACTCCCCTAAGGCTTAGTTACTGACAGCTAGAATTTTAAGCTGCAACATGCTGTTAGTCCGGTCCCATTCTTTTGCTTTTCTGTGTTTAGGGAATGAGATCTTCCAAACATAAATGACAATAAATTTTATTTCAAGTGTTACAGGATGTATCCCCTCTGCAGCCTCATTGTCATTTGCCATAGGGCAGAGTCCTAGTGTTATGACATAGCATATAGTGCATACACACACACACACACACATGCATACACACATATACATACAGAAATACATTGTGTATATTTTTAGGAATGAAGTCCTTGGGTCAATTTCTTCTTGCAGGATATTACACACACACACACACATGCATGCAGTCACACATACACACATACATACACATATATACATACACATACCGAAACACATTGTATATCATTTTAGGAATGAAGTCCTAGGACCTATTTTTTTTCTAGCAAGATCAACTCAAAATTGAATGGGATTCCAAAGGACTAGGAGGAATCTACTTCTAGGTGCTAGTAATTGCATGGTTATAATGACCTAAATATCCTAAAGGCACCATACTTTGTTTATACTTGGAAGCTAATCAAACTACAAGAAAGGAGATTCCATCTGAACATTAGGAAGAACTTCCTGACTGTGAGAGCTGTTCAGCAGTGGAACTCTATGCCCTGGAGTGTGGTGGAGGCTCCTTCTTTGGAGGTTTTTAAACAGAGGCTGGATGGCCATCTGTCGGGGGTGATTTGAATGCAATTTTCCTGCTTCTTGGCAGGGGGTTGAACTGGATGGCCCACGAGGTCTCTTCCAACTCTATGATTCTATGATTCTAATCAGGTCCAGTTCTAGATAATACTTGATGGGGCAATGCTAGTAAATATTAGATGCTGTAGATTATATTTCAAAGGCAGGAACTGGGAAAATCACTAAAGTATTATTTCCTAAGAAAACCCTATGAAATTAATGGGATCACCATAAGGTGATAGGTGATTTGAAGGTGTGTGCAAACACACATGTAGGATATCAGCTATGGTCTCAGAAGATATCAGAAGATATCAGTCACGGTCTCCTTCTAAGCTCACTACCATTAAAGATATTTCACTGAGAACTAGACAGAGGGAGTTTGTCCTTGTTGGTTCTCCTGGATCTCTCAGTGGCTTTCGATACCATTGACCATGGTATCCTTCTGATTCATCTTGCTGGGAAGGGACTGGAAGGCACTGTTTTACAGTGGCTCCGCCCCTTCCTGGAGGAGAAAACTCAGAAGGTAGTGCTGAGGAACTACTGTTTGAATTCCTGGCTGTTCACCTGTGGGGTTCTTCAGGTTTTCATTTTGTCCTCCATGCTGTTTGACATATACATGAAACCACTGGGAGAGGTCATCCAGAGTTTGGAGTACAGTGCCACCTATATGCAGATGACACCCAATTCTACTACTCCTTTCCACCTAATGTCAAGGAAGTTTTCCTGACATGATACAAGGATTTAAAGGTCAAARTGCAAAGACTCTAGCACAAGCCAGTCAAGGTGCTCCCAATGGTGATGGGAACACTGGGTGCAGTGCCTAAAGACCTTGGCCTGCACTTAAACACAATCAATGCTGACAAAATTACCATCTGCCAGCTGCAGAAGGCCACCTTACTGGGATCTGTATGCATTATTCGCCTCTACACCACACAGTCRTAGACACTTGGGAAGTGTCCAAAGTGTGATCCAATACAACAGCCATCAGAGTGATCTTTTCTGCTGTGMACTCATCTTGTTGTGTTTCAAATAATAATAATAATTCCAAAGGGACTCAGAGTGGTTTACACACAGAGATAGGCAAACAAATATTCAGTGCCTTAAACAATACAAACAACATCAGGGATAATACAAAATAATGCACAATAATAACYGTAAACTAATAATAATAATAATAATAATAATAATAATAATAATAATAATAATAATACTGGTTTCACCAGAGGTAAAGCAATGRCTAGTCTTATTGTGTCCCCCTGATTCACTGCTGGACAGCTGCTCTTAACATTCTCATAACTAACTCAATGGACAGCTCCCAGTAAGATAAACATGAAAAAGTATGTGGAACAAGATATGCCTTTTAAAGGTGTCTAGGGGGAGTGCCAAAACAATTCCTTTAACTCTGATGTGTGTGGAACAATGCCTGAAGATTTGCAAAGTTATGTTTTCCCATTACTGATATTAATTACCAATAATCATTCTTTGTAATTGTGTTATGCAGTAATCATATATGAAATGCCACTGATAGCTAATTTTTGAAGGTATTTGGCCATTTTCAAGCACTAAGGGAAAGAAGACATTATAATGTCTTCATTCTATAGCCATGAAGAATGAAGCCTTTTTTTTTGCATAATGCAGGAAGCTTGGATAAGTACTGCCAAAGGCATTTACTTACACATACACATGTGCGTGTGTGTGTGTTTATACCACAATCTCCATATCCTTCCCAGATAAGTCCTCTTTTTCTGAAGAGACAGTTGCTGCTCTGTACTCTAGCTCATGACACAATTTGTGATGGGCCTTTCTAAATCATACACATAAAAAGGAAGAAAACAGAGGATGGACTGTTCTTGTTTCTTTCCTTTTTCTTTGGTGAGTCTCAAGCTGTCATTGAATGTACTTGTTTTTGAGAACAGCAACAGTGTTTTGGCTCATCAAGCATATATGAGAGGATAACAGCATTGGGAAGTGACCCCATTGAAAGCATTTCAACAAAAATACTAATCTGGGTTTTTTTTATGCAATATGATCCAGGTTATACCAACAATAAATGCATATTTTCTTAGAATATATGACTATATATATGACTAGATATACATAGAAAGGATAGAACTTCAATTCATGTATCAAGTGGGTAAAAATAATTTTTTTTGGCCAAAAGGTCAAATTCCAGTGGGGGGGGGGGGGCTCTGGAACTGCACTCTAGCAGTAAAGGTAAAGGTTTCCCTTGACATGAAGTCCAATCATGTCTCACTTTGGGGGGTAGTGCTCATCTCCATTTCTAAGCCGAAGAGCGGGGTTGTCCATAGACACCCCCAAGGTCATATGGCCAGCATGACTACATGGACTGCCATCATCTTCTCACAGAAGCGGTACTTATTGATGTATTCAAGTTTACATGTTTTCAAACTGCTAGGTTGGCAGAAGCTGGGGCTAACAGCGGGAGCTCACCCCACTTCCCGGATTCAAACTGCCAACCTTTCTGTCAGCAAGTTCAGCAGCTCAGCGGTTTAACCTTCTGCGCCACCAGGGGGCCACTGTGGGGGTAAAAGTCAGATTGTGGAATGAAGGACAGAATAGATGTGTTGAAGCAAAGTGGGTGGGATCACAGTAATGACTGATTTTGACTCCCCCTCCCCACCAAGAATGCAAAGCTCAACGGTACACATGCTTTTCAGTATAGTTTTCCTGAATGGTTGCTTTCACTGACAGAAGATAACACAAGAATAAACCTTCCAACAGAGGTTGTCACCTCTGCTATATTTTTCATACACACTTTTTTTACTCAGAATATAATAATTTTCATGTCCCGTTCAGACTGAACTCCCAAGTAAATGTGTGAGTATTAGACAATAAGTGGCAGCATTTTACTGTCTTCACCACTTCTGATTGACTGAAAATATAGACTTGCTCACATCTCAAATGCGCCAAGTACCACTCATGTCAGGAGAAGGTGAGCCTCAAACTTTCCTGAAATTATGGGGAAAACTGCTGTTCCATTCCCACTTCCCACAGAAAGAGTGTTGAGTCTATACTGATCTCTTCTGTAGCATGATTGTAGTCTATGCACACTAAGAATAAGATCTACAAGCCAATCGAAATACCTTTGCAGAAGCATACAAGAAGCTCGGCCTCTCATTCAATATTGAGAAAGCCAAAGTGGTCTTCCAGCAGTAACCAGCCAATCCCTCTCCAATGCCAAAGATACAGCTTAATGGTGTAACATTAGAAAATGTGGACCATTTCCGCTACCTTGGCAGCCACCTCTCCACCAAAGTCAACATCAACACTGAAATACAACACCGCCTGAGCTCTGCGAGGAGCATTTTTCCCAAATGAAGCAGAGAGTGTTTGAGGACCGGGACATCCGTAGGGATACCAAGGTGCTTGTTTATAAAGCTATTGTCCTCCCAACCCTGCTATACGCCTGCGAAATGTGGACTGTCTACAGACGTCATATGCAACTCCTAGAACGATTCCATCAGCGTTGCCTCTGAAAAACCCTGCAAATCTCTTGGGAAGACAGGTGGACAAATGTCAGCGAGCTGGAAGAAGCGAAGACCATTAACACTGAAGCGATGCTCCTCCGCCATCAATTCTGCTGGACTGGCCACGTTGTCCAAATGCCTGATCACCATCTCCTAAAGCAGTTACTCTACTCCGAACTCAAGAACGGAAAAAGGAATGTTGGTGGACAGGAAAAGAGATTTAGAGATGGGCTTAAAGCCAGCCTCAAAAACTGTGGCATAGACAACGAGAACTGGGAAGCCCTGGGCCTTGAGTGCTCCAGCTGGAGGTCAGCTGTGACCGGCAGTGCTGCAGAATTCAAAGAGGCACGAATGGAGGGAAAAAGGGAGAAACGTGCCAACGAAAGGCATGTCAAGCCAACCCCTACTGGGACCGCCTTCTGCCTGGAAACCAATGTCCTCACTGCAGGAGAACATGCTGATCAAGAATAGAGTTCCACAGCCACCTACGGGCTCACCACCAAGACACTGAACTTGGAGGAACATCATCCTTGGGCTATAAGGGATCACCTAAGTAAGTAAAGTAAGTAAGTATAGTAACTACATATGTATTTTATTTATGTATTTATTTATTTATTTATTTACAGGGTGGATTACAATGCACATATACATGGCAATTAGACATACAACATATATAGACAGACATAGAGACAATTTAACATTCCAGCTTTTCTGGCTTCATGAGCGTATGCCTGGTTCCGGCCAATGGGGAGGTGCCGCTTCACTGTCCACTTGTGACACTGGATCCTTTGATGGAGTACTTCCTCATTCATCTGTACGCTGCTGGAAGGTTTTATGACATTGTAAATTAGTTAAATTATCCTCCCCACATAAAGTGGTACCTAAATTTCCTACTTGATAGATGCAACTGTCTTTCGAGCTGCATATATAGACAGACATAGAGGCAATTTAACATTCCAGCTTTTCCGGCTTTGAGAGTATGCTTAGTTCTGGCCACAGGGGGAGCTGCTGCTTCAATGTCCACTTGTGACACGGGGTCCTTTGATGGAATTCTTCCTCATTCTTCTGCATGCTGCTGGAAGGTTTTTTTTTATGACATTGTAAATTAGTTAAATTAGCTTCCCCACATATAGTGGTGCCTAAATTTCCTACTTGACAGATGGAACTGTCTTTTCATTTGCATAGGTCAACAGCAAGCTAGATTATTAATGGTCGGGAGCTTAGTCTGACCCGGGCTGGCTTTGAACTCATGGCCTCTCAGTCAGGCCATCAAATGCTAATCAAGGTGGCCTATTGAAACATTCACACCTAGCTCCAACAGACAAGAGTTTTTTCTCCCACTCTGGATATATAAACCCCATTTGCCTAGTTTATTTATTTATTTTATTTATTTGGAGTGCTTCTACCCGGCCTTTCTCAACCCCGTAGGGGGGACTCAGGGCGCCTTACAAAAGGCACAATTTGATGCCCAACAATTCACAAAATACAATATGCAATTTACAATATAACGACGACAGTTATAACTAATTAAAACAGTCAAATTAAAACAGCAGCAGCAATAAAATCATCTTGTGGTCAACGTTCGTCAATTCATAAATCCATGATCCATCCAGAATTGTCATTGTCCTTTCCTACTCTGGTTACCATTGTCTTTTATCCGTCTGCCAGCTTACAAAGGCCTGGTCCCAAATCCAGGTTTTTAACTTCCTCCTGAAGGAGAGGAGGGATGTTGATGACCTAATTTCCCCGGGGAGTGCATTCCACAGGCGAGGGGCCACCACCGAGAAGGCCCTGTCCCTCGTCCCCACCAGTCTCACTTGTGATAAAGGGGCCGAGAGCAGGGCCTCCCCAGAAGATCTTAAACTCCGAGGTGGGACGTAGAAGGAGATACGTTCAGACAGGTACACTAGGCCGGACCCGTATAGGGTTTTGTAGGTCAAAACCAGCACTTTGAATTGTGCTCGGAACTGGATCGGCAGCCAGTGGAGCTGACATAACAGAGGGGTGATATAAGTGTCTTTTGGGATGCATAGGTTGACAGCAAGCTACACTATTAATGTTTGGGAGCTTACTCTGACCTGGGATGGCTTGGAACTCAAGACCTCTCGGTCAGTAGTGATGTAATGCAGCTGGTTACTAACTAGCTTTGATGGAGTGCTTCCTCATTCTTCTGCATGGTGCTGGAAGTTTTTATGGCATTGTAAATTAGTTAAATTAGCCTAACCGCATAAAGTGGTACCTACATTTCCTACTTGATAGATGCAACTGTCTTTCAGGCTGCATAGGTCGACAGCAAGCTAGACTATTAATCTTTGGGAGCTTACTCTGACCTGAACTGGCTTCAAACTCATGACCTCTCCGTCAGTAGTGATTTAATGAAGCTGGCTACTTACTAGCTGTGCCACAATATAATTACATACTAGTAACTAGTTACAAAATAGTAACTAGATATGTATTTGTCTACAGCACCAACGTTTCTATTTAGGCTCATGGCTTTTATGTAATACTTGTGTGAGGTGGGTGGGAATCCGTGGGCTGGAGACACGACCTGTGGCTGCCTGTTCCATACAAAGAATAATAAACTCTCGAGTCAGAAACTCAGCAGTGGAGCTCGTTTGGGACCTTTGGAAAGCCGCAGCAGCCTCTCAACTGGGAGATCTCCAATTAGCCCCGAACAAAACTCCCAAAGCTCCCCAGCTTGTGTGTGAAACAAGCCCTTGTTGGCACGCACCCCTTTTCCCAAGGTTGAGCTTCCTTTGCTTTTTCCTGAGAGTTGGCGCAGGAGGCGAGGAGGGAGAGAAGGGGGCCGGAGTCGCAGCCAGACAAAGCTTTTGATTAATGGCCAAGCGCTGCTGCTGCTGCTGCCTCCGCGGCTGCGCCTCCTGCAAGGCTCCCAAGCCCTCGGCCGCACAAAGGAAGCAAGAAGCCGGGGCCACTCACTTCCTACAGCCCGGGGGCCTCTTCCTTCCTCGAAAGAGGACATTTTCAGGGCTGCGGGAAAGGAAGGAAGAGCGAACAACTCTTCCCACTTCTTCGCAAGTTTGGGAGTGCCTGAGAAAGAGAGGCACTGAATAGGAGAGAGGGACAGAGAGGTTGTTCGTGTCGTTGCCTTCTTTTTCCTTTCCTTTTTTGTGGAATTTCCCTTTCTGGCTAAGAAGGAGCGGAGGAAAAAAAGTGGGGAAAGTGCATCTTTTGGGGAGTGGGCAACCATGACCGAAGAAAGCAAAGGGGAAGGGAAAGGAGAAAGTGGGAAAGACTTGGAGAAGCATCTTCGCCTCCGAGTGTGCGTTTTGAATGAGCTGCTGAAGACGGAGCGGGACTATGTGGGCACCTTGGAGTTTTTGGTCTCGGTGAGTTTGGACCTCTCTTACTCTCTTCCCCTCCTCAAATGATGCTTCGGCTTTGTGTCATCGCCTCAGGCGCCTTTTCCTATCCCTTTGGATATCAACAGCCCTCCTTCTCTCCCTTTCTTTCACTCCTCCCCCCAAGTTTGCCAGCAAAGTCGAGGAAGCCAGAGGAGGGCGACTCAAATGATCAAGGGTCAGGAGAATGAGCCCTATGAGGAGCGGCTTAAAGAGCTGGGCATGTTTAGCCTGAAGAAGAGAAGGCTGAGAGGAGACATGATGAGGGCCATGTATAAATATCTGAGGGGAAATCATAGAGAGGAGGGAGCAAGCTTGTTTTCTGCTGCTCTGGAGATTAGGACACAGAACAATGGCTTCAAACTACAGGAAAGGAGATTCAACCTGAACATGAGGAAGAACTTCCTAACTGGGTTGTTGGGCTATATGGCCATGTTCTAGTGGCATTATCTCCTGACGTTTTGCCTACATCTATCGCAAGCATCCTCAGAAGTTGTGAGGTCCCACAACCTCTGAGGATGCTTGCCATAGATGCAGGTGAAACATTAGGAGAGAATGTCTCTAGAACATGGTCATATATCCTGAAAAAACCTGCAACAACCCAGTGATTCCAGCCATGAAAGCCTTTGACAACTTCCTAACTGTGAGAGCTGTTCAGCAGTGAAATTCTCTGCCCTGAATTGTGGTGGAGGCTCCTTCTTTGGAGGCTTTTAAGCAGAGGCTGGATGGCCATCTGTCAGGGGTGATTTGAATGCAATATTCTTGCTTCTTGGCAGGGGGTTGGATTGGATGGCCCACGAGGTCTCTTCCAACTCTTTGATTCTATGATTCTATGATTCTATGATTCTATGATTCTAATAAGTCACATGTTGTGGTGACACCCAACCATGGAATTATTTTTGTTGCTTCTTCATAACTGTAATTTTCCTACTGTTATGAATTGCAATGTAAATATCTGATATGCAGGATGTATTTTCATTCACTGGTCCAAATTTGACACAAATACCCAATACACCCAAATTTGAATACTGGTGGAAGGGGGTTAATGTTGTCATTTGGGTGTTGTAGTTGCTGGGATTTATAGTTCACCTACAATCCAAGAGCATTCTGAACTCAACCAGCAATGGAACTGAACCAAATTTGGCACACAGAACTCCCATGACCAAGAGAAAATACTGGAAGGATTTGGGGGCATTGATCTTGAGTTTTGGAGTTGTAGTTCACCTACATCCAGAGAGCATTGTGGACTCAAACAATGATGGATCCGGACCAAACTTGGTACGACTACTCAATATGACCAAGTGTGAACACTGGTGGAGTTTGGGGAAAATAGACCTTGACATATGAGAGTTGAAGTTGCTGGGATTTCTAGTTCACCTACAATCAAAGAGCATTCTCAACCCTACCAATGATAGAATTGAGCTGAACTTCCCAAACATGAACAACAGAAAATACTGTGTGTTCTCTTGGTCTTTGGTGGCCCCTCTGACACCCCCCTAGTGACCCCCCCCCAAGGGTCCTGACCCCCAGGTTGTGAAACAGTGTTCTAAGCCTTTGGGGACCATTGTGCGACTCTTGGAAAACACAGTCTCCAGAATCCAGGGAGGATTTATACTGCATGGAGAACATGTTCAAGTCAATCAAGGGAAGAGGAGTCTTGTTTTACTTTTGCCTTTGGACTTTCCCCCCATGTTTTTGGACTTTTTGTCTTGTTTTTGTGTGGCCTCATCTTCCCTTGGTTGACTTGAGTATGTTCTTGTCTTGCAAGCATGCCGAAGCTTTACAAACCCAGTGAACAAATCTCTTTTAAATCTCCGCTTCCTTGAAAACTCCAATGTCAGGTGACTTTTCTGGGCACACATATTTGAAAAGTAGTGAATGAAATGTTCTAAGTTTAGGTCCATTTGGCTGATGGGACTTTTTTGGAAGAGGAAGAAGGGATTAAACACTGGAATCTTGAATCACTCTGTATTTACTATCTTCCTTGAAAGAGGGTGGGTGGGGGGCACAGAAAGGAGGGAATTGCGCAAGGGTGGGGGTGCTTGATCTACATCAGCTGTTTAGTATTAAAGCCACATGTAACTTTTACCTCTTCTCTTCCCTTGACTCTGCTGCCATCCAACATCTGCCTATTCAAAGTCTTGTTTTGGTAATAGATAGATGATTAAAAGAAAGTTGGCTTGTATCCCATTCTCATCATGCTTAAAAGAAGACCTACTCAAATCAATGGACTTAATTCAATCACGATTAAGCCTACATCCTTCCAGCCCTGTGACTTGCTTACAACATGCATTTTAGCAACCCCACTATAGCAATTGATTTGCCTGTCTATCTGTGTGCATATGCACATGCCCTCAAGTTGCCTGTTGACTCATGGTGGCCCCAGAGATCATTTTTTTCTCGTTCCTTCCTCTCAAATACAACTTAAAGCATCTGGGATTCTTTGGCAGTCTCCTACCCAAGCACTAACTAGGAATAATTCTGCTTAACCTCCAAGATCAGATGGGATCTGGTGCCTCTAGGTCAGGCAAGGGGAAACTTCAGCCCTCCAAGTGTTTTGGATTTCAACTCCCACAATTCCTATCAGCTTCAGGGCCCTTCCTTTTCAGCCACTGTTAAGGGGGAAAAGGAAAGGGCCTGAGGCTGTTAGGAGTTGTGGGAGTTGAATTCCAATAATAATAATAATAATAATAATAATA